AGGGAAAGACATATCGCACAGTGGGGAAATTAAGTGAGAGGTAGTATCTTTAGGATATTGGACTAGTAATCTTTTAGGTCTAAAAGGATGCAAGTATTCTCCTAGTCATATTTGGAGCAGGAACATCTTCTGGTCTGGTAAACACATACACACTTGCGGGGCAGGAGGTTATATATATGGTTGTCCCTGAGAATCCAATGGCTAATGTATGCAAATGGATAAATAAGGAACCATACTGAAACCTTGCCATGAGAGCAGAAGTTTGTCTTTTTTCCCAGGTATGGGGAATGCCTTTAGACCCTGAGCCAGTGGGCTGGGTGGCGTGGGCCGGCAGAAGTTACCGGGAGCCCTGATAGGAAGGACGGAGGCAGGAGCTGCTTTCTAACTTGTTGAACTGAGTAGGAACTGCGTTCGTGTGGTTTTTTAGATGCAGGATAGGATCAGATTATTGTTCTGATATTTTCTTTCATGTGCTTATTCTTATAACTCTGTAGCTCAACATATGGTTACAGATTTATGTTTGCTCTTGTTTTTATAATAAATCTTTTTGTTATCTTATATAACTTACTGCTGTCAGTGGTAAGGGGGATTTCCGAGCATTTGACCACATAGGCAGGCCTCTTCCAAAGAAGGGGGAATCTGTCATTTCTGAGCACATGACCGGACAAGGGTGCGATTCTTCTAGCTGACAAACTCCCCTCTGCTAAGAGCTGGCAAGACCTAGGTGAGGTGGGGAAAGCTGAGACACCGCAGGGCAGGGAGATGACCTTTGGAGTGTTTCAGTCTGCTCTCAGTGGCCAAGCTGCAGACACAGAGGGGTTTGGGGCTGAAGGGCACCCCTGAAGATGTGAGAACCCCCTGGCAATGCGTCTCAAAGGTGCACTTCAGCACATCCAGGATTGGGGCATGTTGCACTGGCTTTGAGGCATGCTGTCTACAGCCTCTGAGAGCAGAAGCCAGTGCAAACACTGCCAAATCTAGGTAGGGAAAGGGAGACAAAGTGGGCCGTGTCTAATCGTTCTAGCTCCTGGCAGCTGCTTTGGGCGCTCTATTGGGCCCACTTTGCAGCAGAACAAAATCTTTTGTCTAAGTACAGACAGCTCAAAGGGAGGAGGATTTTACCTGATAGGGGTATGTCATATTCATGGCTAAAGTATTCTCCTTGGAACTGGGGTTTTCCTTTATTGTTTGGGTGCAAAGCCTGGAGGATGCATGGTTGTTAATAGATGGGACTCCCTCCAGGCTGTGCTGTGTGCATTTATGGGGGCAGGTCCATAAATGAGGAGGCAATTCACTCTACAATATCCTGTCTCTTCAGATTCACAGTCTGCTGGTCTATGGCTTTGTGATCCCCTAGAAGATGGCACAGCCTGCACACCTGAACCAGAACCTCCCAGGTAAGGAGATGCAGGCAGTTCCTAACAGAAAACACAAAATGCTCGGATAGGGCACTCCTGGCGTGGCATTAAGGAGATTGTGGGGTGGCAATCAGCTACGGCGACCCATGTAAATAGTGCGGACTGCAGCCCCCTCTGAGTGATGAGCATTTCTAGAGCCTCCGCCTGACCCACCTGTGGCTGTCACTAGAGCTGAGCAAAATTCAGAATTTCCATCTGTTTCAGCATTTGGTTCATCTTAAATTGGGGCAAAAAAATAACGTGAACTTTTTCTCAGAATGGAAATCCTGAAAACTTTTACTAATAAATGTCAATACATCTAACACAGAGCAACCAACACCTCGTGGGGATTGCAGTTCAGGAGCCTGATGCCCCCTATGGACCGGTCTGTGCTTACCAAGAGGCATTACAAAGATTTGCATGATGGGAGATGTAGTCCTCCAGGAAGCTTGACCCAGAGCAAAGAATGGGGAATCAAACTGCAGTTCCCCTCCCAACCCTATCCCTACTCTCCTCTGGCAAAAAAACCCCCAAAACAGTGCAAAAATGGGGAAGAAATTTTAGTTTAACATTTCATTTAGAATCGGGTCAATAAGTCAGTTCAACAGAACAGTGATCCAGTTTGGGCCACGCTAATGCTAAACAAGTATTTCATTTTTTTCCAAATAGAAAATCAAAAATTTTCAATAAAATGGAGATTTTTTCCCCCTTCAGAAATTGCAGTATTGCAGAAACTTTATTTTCTGTCAGAAAATAATTTCGGACAGCAAGTTCCTAAGTAGCCCCAGGCATCACCCAGGGTTTGAATTATGCTTCAATTCTTGCAAAAAAAATTGGCCGGGGTTGGGGCTGTGTGTATGGGTCCCCTGCCAGTACTGTGGAGCTGGAGCTGGCAGTGGTGGCAGCCAGAAGGAGCTGCCATCGCCACCTGGGCTGTTTAAGAAAGATGTGGGGTGGGCCAGGGGCTGTGTGCAGTGACATGTGGCTATTGTGGGGCAGGGCTGGCACAGGCGGGGTGAAGGGGTCCTGACTAGCTCAAGAGGGGTTCTCGTCTCTTATGGGGGTCTCAGCCCCCCGAATCTCCACTGCAATTCGAACCTTGGTTGCACCTGACAATTATGTGTCCCGATTCTGGATGAAGGATTGTGCTGCTCCGCTGGGTAACACCCCTAGACCGGGTGGCTATGAGTATAGGGTAGTGCAGCAAGGACAGAGCTCTTAGTTCCCCAAGTAGGGAAAGGGGAACTGTGGTGCCCACCTCCTTGCTCCTCATATTTTAACCCCTGAGTAAGGCCACGTCATTGCATTCAGGCACCTGCCTTTTCTGCACTCAATGGAATCCTTTCCACTGCGATGTGACCAGACCCTTTTTATCACCATCTCATAGCTCTGTCTGCAGTGACTGTAAATGCATTTTTATCACAGCCTTAAAAATTTTAATGAATCCTCGTTTTCAAATTTGGGTTTGAAACTCACCTAGTATCACAGAGACAGACTCATGCTTTACAAGGGGCTCCAAGCAATACATCTGCAGCAAGGCAGGGGAGTACCAGGGCCTTTCCTTCTACCTACTTAATTGGTCTGGCATCAAGCCCATGCCCTGCAACGAACAGCAGGAGTTAAGCAAGCATCCGAGATGAGTTTGCTGCACTCTTTACTGTCTTGACTCTGTACTTCTCTTTGGCTTTCCTTACAGACTTAGGTGGCCCTTTCCTATATAGAGATCAGGATGATGGAGAGAAGAGCTCCTATTCTGTGGAAACGGCGTATGGCTTCACATTAGATCTAGATTTCCTGAAATATGTAGATGACATTCAGAGTGGGCAAACTCTGAAGAAGTTGCATCGGAAAGCGAAAGGGCCCAAGCAGCAGCTCAGCTGCCTCAGAAGTCCCGGAAGCCATGCTAGTGGATGGACCTCTACTGAATCACTGGCATCCACAGCCAGTGAGGATGGAAGGACCACCCTCTTGTTATCTCCACACGCGAGAACACAGTCCAACTCCTCAGAAACAAGAGAAGCCCTGAGCAAACAAGTTTCCAACCCAGTGTCTCCAACTGCTGTTATAAACCTCCTCCCACCTCCATCCCCCAAATCTCTATTGAGAAATCCCCGTGTGGAAAAAACCTTGCTAGAGACAAGTAGGAGACTAGAGCAAGAGCAGCTGAATTTGCTAAGTAGTGGGAATGCACAAATACCCAAGCCTGAATTTGCTAAGTAGTGGGAATGCACAAATCCCCTAGTCACCCAGCAGCCCCTCTAAAACAAGCAACTCCATCTCCAGTGCTGCCTCAGTTACCCAGAGCCGCTCATGCTCCTCTGTGCCTTCGAATGGAAATGGGGACAGCCAAGCCACACTTAGTCCGTCGCTTACAGGTTCTATGAGAATGAGCCCTTTTAGTTCAGGGTGGACTACACCAGCCACCAATCTCAGTGCCACACATCTGCAGCATGTGCGGGAGCAGATGGCTGCTGCCCTCAAGCAGCTGAAGGAGCTGGAGGAACAAGTCAAGACCATCCCAGTCCTAGAGATGAAGATCTCTAAACTGAAGCAGGAGAAGGAGAAGCTGCTGGCGGGTTTACAGGAGAAAGCTTCGCCTGAAACATGTGAGACTTCTGCTTTTACCTTCCCTCCCCAGTCTCCCACTGCAAGTGAGGAGCAGCCCCCAGTGAGCCAGGAAGCACAGGGAGAGCTGGAAGGTGAGTCTGAGATGGGCAAAGCTCGAGCAAGTAAAATTACGGAGTTGAGGAAACTCACTGAGAAACTATCCACTTCAGAGCGTAATGTGAGAGCTGGCAGAACGGGGACTCGCCCTGCCAGACCTAGTGACCAAGCATGCAAGTCAGTAGGCGTGGGTGAGGAAATGGACATGAACGACGTCGTGTTCTACTACCGATCGCAGAAGCTGTGCCGAGAGGTAGCAGTCGGCCAGGAGACCGAGACCAGGGATGCTGCAGTGTGGGTCATGGAGTCCTTATTAGGGCTTTCTACCGAATCGGAGAAGGAAATCGAGCTGCTGCAGCACACGGTTAGCCACCAGAAGGAGGTAATCAACATGATGGAAGGACATTTGAAAGAAGCAACTAAGGAGCTGGAGGAGTTGAGGGTAGAGGTTTGTTCCAGAAGGCCAGGAAAGTTGATAGATAAGGAAATAATGGCCAAGCCTCAACTGGCAGAAGCATATGTAGAGGCAGTCGTGCCAATGCAGAACCAGGCAGTGGGTAGTCCCCTGGAAATGATAGATGAGGGGGTCGATTGCTCGCCTCACATGTTGTGCATTGGAATCAACTATGATTTGAAAGGTAAAGAAGTTGCGGTAGGTCCAGATTCAGCAGCTACCTGTGAAGAGAAAGCCACTCAAGCCAACAAAAGCCAATTTAGAGGCGGGGAGCACTGTGCCAAGTGTTGCAGCAGTGGCAGAAGCAGGTCTACAGGCAGCTGCTGACAAGTCTACACAAAGACAGAAAGGTGCAGGAGAAACTGGAAACCAGGTGAATGTCACTGAGCCTGGAGCTGCTGGTGGCAGTAAAGCAGCTGGGGCCCCAGGAGAAAAAGGGCCATCAGAAAAGAAACAAAGTCCGTGTTTGAGCCTCAAGGACTCCAAGACAGGGATGCAGGAATGTGTCCCCACGGCACTGGAAGTGACTTGGGAGAATGACAGCAGAGCTCCTCTGAGTACTGGCACTGGTAAGTCCCTTACCATGAACATCTTCTGAGCCAGAGACAGAACTCAGTCCCTGAGAGAACAATTCCATTGAAATCTTTTTCCTTCTGTTAATTTGCAAGAAATCCTGAACCTGGGGTGTTAGCCAGTCTGAACCACAGCACAGCCCCAAGCAGTCCAGAGCTCAAGTCTCCTCTCCCATCCAACAGGTGACACCCATGCTGCTCTGTTACCTTCAGCACTGCTGTTCACCGTTGGTGGGGTGGGGGAGACTCGAGAGCCCTGCTGCCAAGCGGAGAGGAAGCTGCATCAATCGGGCATGGAGAGGGATGACATGGCTTAGTGACCACTTTCCAGTTTATGCTCTCACATTGGAAAAACAAATCAGTGGAGAGTTTTGTCGGAGTGGATGAGGCTGTATGCTGCAGGAGTGGGAGGGCAGGGCTTGCATGCTGCATGAAGGGTGGAGCCCACTGAGTCAGGAGGACAGGACTGTGTGTTCCTGGGGTTCAGAGACAGGGATTTCAAGCAGTGTGTATGTGAGGACAAGGATGGTGGGTATTTAACACCTCCCACTCGAGCAAGCAGCTAGTTGGAATTGGAGCTCAAGGCACGTGGGTTTGTTCCTGTCCCTGCCACACTCTGGACAGTGTCCCTGAGAGTTACTCTCCTGAAACGTGGGATGTCCTCAGGGAGTAGAGGTGGACAGAGTGGCCAGTTTTCTGCTACAGCGGGCTCATGCTCTAAGTGTGATGACTGCAGAAGTCTGGATGGATACAAACCCCAGGCTTTCAGGGCTGGACTTACAGGAGCATCTCAGAGCTCAGCAATTACATGATGAGCTGGAGAGGAAGCCATCCTGGCCCAAGTTAGCCTGCCTCTGGCAAGCTGCCACAGCCCACTGCCACCTGCTTCCTCCTATCTTCATTACCATTCCTGTGTCCGGGGCCAGCAACCCTGCTCCATTTCAGTCCTGCTGGCAAAGCCAGCCTCCCCTCCAATAGACAGTGTGTGTCTGCAGTTGGATGTCTGCAAGGCTTGGGTCCTATCTCCCACCCTGTCTTTCTGTGCTGGGGTGGGGCTTTCTGCTATGTGACCTTTCCTTCTCTGTTTCTTCACAGGATCCCTGAAGTCCATCATGAAGAAGCGAGATGGGCTACCAAAGAACGAGGCTGAGGGTGGCAGGAAGAGCCTACAGTTTGTGGGGGTGCTGAACGGGGAGTATGTACCCTTGCCACTTTTTGCTAGGGCAAAAGATTCAACCCTATGTTTCTGTAAAACCTGAAGCCACCCCTTTGTAAAGTGCAGCAGTGGGGCAGAAAGACTTTGCTTTCTCGTGCATGCTGGGGGCAGAGGGCAGTATTGTTCCAGATCTCATTCGGCGCAACATGGTTGCCTCGGGAGTGTTGTGTTGGCAGAACCCTAACCTGCTCTCTCTCACTCGGCAGGTATGAGAGTACATCCAGCGAGGAGGAGGGTGGAGACAGCTCTTCTGAGAAGATTTCACCCAACAGCTCCGACAGCGATGCTGAGGGTGGCACTGACTCCTCAGATGAGGATGTGAATGTGGGCGAGAATGAGAGCGACTTGGAGAATCCTGAAGTAGACACAGAACAGAGAAAGAGAGAAGAGCAGCATGAACACAGAGAAGAGCATATACCAGCCCCAGAACCCCCAGAGGTGAAGGAGAAGTAAGTGCGGGGGGGGGTCCCCTCAGGGCTCAATTTCTGCTTGGCACCCACCACAACCAGGCTTGGCCAAAAGGTACATTTATGTCAGAGCCCTGCCCACCTTCACTGTCAAAGTCCCTTGGACCTGGTAGAGAGTGAAGCAAGTAGACTCTCATTTAGACCTATTCCACAGAAGCATTTGGAGCCAGGAGCAATAGCAAGTGCTGGGTGTGTTGCCCTCTGCCTCTCTGGTGTGCCAGGGAAACCTCAGCTGCAGACTGGCTGGAGCTGATTGAAAAGCTAAACTTTACTTCTTCAGAAAATTTCAAAAAAAATGTAACCTTTTCACAGAAAATTATTCCCCGCTGTCCAGAATGAAAAAGTTAAGCAGAGCCACGAGGTTTTAATTGTAATTCTTTGCGTCTAAAATTGTGCCAAAATTTGACAGTTTTGGTAAAACATTTG